CCTGGATGTCTCAGGGTCCCGCATGTGCCAGAAAATGCTGTGGGAAGCAACACCCAAATCCATGCTGCTCTCCCTAAAATGAGCATCCCAGAATCGATGTACTCACCCAAAAATGGTGCATTCCCCAAAAAAGTGCTGCCCTGTCCCCAAACCAGCCATGCTGGATTTAGCACCTGAACATGCTTGGCAGGGTGAAGCAGCAGCCTGGGGGCAGCTGTTCCAGGTTATTTCTGGTTTTTATTTGGGTTTTTTTATTATTTAAGGCATCCTATGGGATCCTGAACTCAGCAAGGGTGGCTGGAGTTTGGGAATCCACAGGGAAGTGTGGACAACATTCCTCCACACAGCCCTGCCAGCCCTCAGAGCCCACCAGGTATCAGCTGGGCTGGGCAGAGGGAGCAAAACCCACAGAAACTGTCACCAACTTCATCCATAGCTTGAGAGCAGACTCCCAGAGCCTGCACTGGGAATGGCTCCGGGCACCACTGTGGGCACGGATGTGTGCGGAGAGGCAGGGAGCAGGCAGGGAGACACGCAGCCCCGGCACGGGCACAGCGGCACCGTTTGCCCTAGGGATGCAGAGCCAGACCGGAGGGGTTTGGACGCAGGGATGCACAGCAGGGCAGAGCCCCGCTCCGAGGGCGGCAGGCCCGGGCTGCGCTGAGGCGGAGCGGGAGGCGCCCGGGCAGAGCGGAGCGCAGCAGAAGCGGCCGATGGCTGCCCCCCAGGGGGACACGGACGCCGTGAGCCGCTGGCTGCGCTGGAGCGGAGCAGACACGGATGAGCCAGGGGATTCGGGCACAATGGGAAGCGCGGGCTCAGCACGGCCGGGGACACGCAGGGACAGGGACATGCCGGGATGGGGCACCACGGCTGCCAGCGCTGCATCACCCTGAGCAAACGCTCTCCAGAGGGAGAAACGTGGCTTTTTTTCCTCTTGGTCGCAGGGAGAGGAGGGAAGTGGGTGAACTCATGGCAGCGTGCAGAGGGCTCTGCCACGCGTCCTCCCCTCCTGCTGGCAGCTGGGCACGGGGCTGTCCTGCACTTCCAGTGGGGCTGGCAGGGTACCAGGGACCACATCCCAGCCCGGCTGCTCCCCCGGGGCACCCCCACTTCCCTCCTGCCCACCGCTGCCTTCTCACTTCCACAGCCTTTCCTGTTTTATAGATTTCCTTACTTTATAAACCCAAAAAAGCAAATCCAGGAGCACAAGAGGATTAAGAAACAGCCACACCAAAGCAGGAGCCCTGTTTCACCTCCTGATCCCAGTCACCCCAATAAGGCCTTGGCTGCTCCCACATTCCTCAGGGGAGCTGGTGAGGGCAGGAATAACAGGCACAGGATAATTACAGGGCTGAAGATGGAGGTGCTGCCCAGGCACGAGGTCCCAAAGCTCTCAGGGATGGGAAAAACCTCCCATGGCAAATCTGGGCTGGACCCAGACAACCATCCCACAGGGGAATTTGGGAAACATCCTCCAGAAATGTCTCCACAGGCCAAAACAGTTTGTCAGAATTTCAGTCACTTTCTCTGCTCCTTGTCATCCTTCTTCCACTTCACACGGGGTGGGTGCTGGGAGAAGCTGATCCTCAGAAGAAGACACTAAACTTGGACACAAACGTGTGCCCCCATCACCCTGGAGGTCCTGGTCACTCCCTGGGGCTCAGGGCTGGAAACCACAGCCCTGGCTGCCCACGGCTGCAGGAACAGGAGCTCCCAGGCCCCTGTGCTGCACAAACCTCATGGTTTGCATGGCCTCAGAAAAGAAACATTCTTTTTTTTTGTTTCAGGATGTGAAAGGAGACCACAAGACTGCGGTCCCACGGCTTCCCCACCCCGGGATGACAGGACACTGCAGCAGCAGCAAGCAGATCAAACTGACACCATTTCAGGAGAGGAAGGCTGGGATCCCTCTCCTGGCACGCCCTACAGGCACTCGTGGGGCAGTGCCAGGCCATGGAGCCACATCCACACCACCACTGTCACCAAGGAGTGTCCCCATCCCCCAGGCTGGGCTGCCAAAACACCTGGGGTTTGAAATCATGAAATTCCTGAATGGTTTGGGGAGGAAGGGACCTCAAAGCTCATCTTGTTCCACTCCCAGACATGGGCAGGGCAACTTCCACTACCCCAGGGTGCTCCAAGCCCTGTCCAAGCTGGCCTTGGACACTTCCAGGGATCCAGGGGCAGCCACAGCTGCTCTGGGCACCCTGTGCCAGGGCCTCCCCACCCTCACAACCAAAAATTTCTCTCTAATATCCAGTCTAACCCTGGCCTCTGGCAGTGGGAAGCCATTCCTCCTGGTCCAAGCCCTCCATGCACTGCCCACCTCCCAGGGCCCCATGAGGTGGGGGCAGGTGCAGCAGGGATGGGAGAGCCCCTGGATGTGACCTCCTGCCACTGAGCTGCTGAGTGACTGTCACCTGCCATTGTCACTGTGCCGTCTGCTCCTTGGCTGGGGCTCAGGAAGTGGCACAACAGCAGCAGCAGCCACACCATGAACCAAGGCACCGTTTAACGGACCGGGAGCCCACTGCAGCTGGGGGGAGCGAGAGCAGATCCACAGGAATAAAAACCCTCTTCCTCAATGCTGCACGCAAGAAGTGCCATTTTCTAAGAGGAGAATCCATTTGTCCAGGACCACATACCATGGCAAACGATTACACAGCTGGGGAGGACATTTTCCCAAGCAAAGCCACCAGCCCTGTGGGATGTGTGGGAGCAGGTCCCAGCCTCACACAGTCCCAGGGGCTCTGCAGCAGCACCAGGAATCACTCATGGACGGCCAGATCTGGACACCAGCACTCCTCCTGGCAGCTACCCTGCATCTCCTGCTTGTCCTAGAAAAGGGAAAAATACCCCTGGAGCATTGAGGGTCCTGCAGTTTGTGACTGACACCATGACAAGAAGCCATCAGTGACTGATGTGGCTGGTGCTGAGCTGGCATTGCACACTGTGCTCCCTCCTGGACAGCGTGCCCTTGATCCAAGTGGAGCTGGAACAACTCCACTGGCTGCCACAGCCAGGAGTGAGCAGCCCTGGAGAGGCACCACAGGATGGTGGCACTGCCACTGCTGTCACCAGAGGGACAGGGCAGGGCTGTGGGCTGAGGCAGCACAGGAGCACCACGGCTCTCCCAGGAAAATCACCCATGACCTTGCACCCACAGCCCACACAGTTTCCCATGGCTTGGGCTGGTGTTGAAACCATGCCAGAAAATTATCCACAATTTAAGCATGACTTTAGGCAAACTCCCAAATGTGACACTAAAGCAGCTCCCACAGCAGCAGCACGGGGAGGTTTCTGCTCTGTCTTGTGAGGACACAACCAAATCTCAGCAAAGTGAGGCACAGGGTGGGTACCCAGCTGGGATGTGGTGGATTTGGTGCTGCTGGTTCCCACCACAGCCAGCCTGGAGGCAGTGCCCAGCGTGAGCTCTCTCACATGGAGAGCTGGGACAGATTTGGGCTGGCATGGCAGGAGGAACTGCCAGGGATACGAGTTCTCCAGAGCACCTGCTATGCCCCAGAGGCTGGGCAGAGCCTGACTCTCTTACAGCCAGACTTCTCCAAAGAGCCTGTGTTTAATGGAAGAGGCACCAAAACACTCTCCAAGGAATCAGGACAAGTCCAACTGGGACAAACAGGACAGGTGAGAGAACAGAGAGGTTGGCAAGAGGCAGGATCACCACCTCCCTCGCATCCCATTTTCCATGAGGGCTCCACACCCTCTCCTGGCTCAGAGGAGGCAGCCTCCCAGACACAGTGCAGCTGAGCCCCAGTAGGATCTCATCCCCTTTCCCAAAGCCCTTTTTTCTCCCCAAAAAGCAGCCGTTTCACGTGGTGGCCCTGGGGACAGGGGGCCCCGCCCTGCTGCCCTGGTTAGCGGCGTTTCCTCTCGCAGCTGCAGAGCAGCAGCAGCAGCTGGGTCCTACATGCCCTCGCCGGGTGCAGCCGGTGACAGGAGGTGACGCAGGGGGTGACACGACCCAGCCCCCTCCCACGAGGCCCCTGTCACTCAGGGACAGCCACAGCCTGGGTGACGCAGGCCCAAAGCTGAGGACACAGCAGAGCAGCAGGGAAGAAAAAGCACAACTTCTTCCCTTTTTCTTCTGAAGAAGAGATCCGAGCCCTGTGCAAAAGGAAGTGCTGATACCACATATCCTGTAGATAAAACTCAGTTATTCCATCAGCTCCAAACCCTTGGGAAAGGCTGCTCCCCTCTGCATCTCCCCCACCACCAAGCAGGGTGCCAGAGTGTCCCAGTGTGACATCATCCCTTTGTGCTTTGGGACATCATCCCCACCACTGCTGAGATTTGGGGATCTTTTCCTCATTTTTCTGGAATAAGAGCTTCCACTTGGGAAGCCACATTGGTATAAACATTCCAGTAAATCCCTTCCTGCAGGCCACTGGGTAATTAAGGAGCTCTTTTCATAACGAGGTAACAAATAACACGTGTGGTTTGACAAATTAGGTTCTCGCGCTCGCTAATCATCGCCGCCGCGCTCGGCAAGCCAGGACAGTGTTTTAGGATGTGGGAACTTTGCAAGGAATTCTTACTGGAGATAAAGAGAGCCTGAACTCAGGGCAGGTGCAGGAAACTCCTGGGAGCCTGCAAACAAAGCTCTTCCCAATCCAGCAGCTTCTTAGAGAAAACTCAGCCACAGTAACTCGTGACTCTGTCACAGACCCAACTTCCACAGCTGCTTCCACCACAGAAGAGTGAGAATTCCTGCAAAAATTCCCCCTCTAAGCCACCACTGAGCTCCAAGAGGCAGAAACACCAACAGCCACAAGGAACCCGCTCACCAGAATAACCTGAAGGTGTCAAACCTGAACACTGCAGATCTCTGCACCGGAAAAGCACAGGTGAGAACAGAAGGCAGAACGATTTTGCACAGGCACGTTTTATCTGTGCAGGAACCACCACACGACAGCAACGAGCCTCCCAGGAGGGAATGACACAGGAGGCACAGGACGAACGAACAACCCACCATGTGAAACCCAACTCCCGCGCCACAGTTTTATTGCCCGGCCGCTGCAGCCGCTCCCAGCCTTGCCCTCCCGGCGGTGTCAGCGCGGTTTCCTCGGTGAGCGCTCGGCAACGCCGCTCCCGCAGCCCAGCAGAGGCACCAGCGCCGGCCCCGCGCCGCTCCGGCTCCATTCCCCGCCTCCCCGGGCACACACACGGCCAGCCCACAGCTGTACTGCCGAGCCGGCCAGCCAGGAGCTGCTCGGCGCAGATGAGTCACAACCACACCGCAGACAGTCCCTCTGTGGTGCCATCCCATCCCCGCTTGTCCAGAGCTCTGCCAGGGGACAGATCCCGTGCTCAAAGATCTCACGATGGCAAATTCTGTCAAAGAGATTTTCACAAAGATGACAGGTTTTTAAGCGGCCTGGTTTTGTTCAAGAGCTGAGCCCGCACGTTGTGTCAGCACAATATGCAAAGTATTTTCTTCACGCTTCATCAGTTAACCCCAAAATGATCAAAGCAATCCTGGCAGCTGCTGAGTATCACATCTAGAACCTGGTTCTGGGGAGAGGGTGGCACTGCAGAGCCCACGGTGCCAAAAGCAGCACCAGGCATTTTATTTTTATCACTTTGGTGCCTCTAAACTCCAGTTTGGAGATCCCACCCCACCAGTGCATGGAAGCAGAAGTGTGAAGCTCAGAGGTAGTGCTGAAAAGGAAGGCTGGCACCTGGAGCACCAGGTTTGGGAACAAAGAAGCTCCTTTGTACAGCAGGGCTGTGCTTCCACAGGGTCCCAAATTCCACAGTCAGTCTGGAGCTCCACCCCTGGAGTGCTCACGCTGTGCCAAGGAAACAGCAGCTCTGGCAATTCCTGGCAGCGGTTGCTGTGCTGGTGCCATGAACCATCCCAGTGGAAGGTGTCCCTGCCCATGGCAGGGGGTGGAATGAGATGAGCTTTAAGGTCCCTTCCCAACAACCCAAAGCATCCTGGGATTCTGTGCACCTACCACTTGCTTCCTGTGGATGCTCACGATGTGGATGTCCTCGCTCCGATACTCCTCGTCGTGCCGATCCAGGGGAATCTTCTCCAGCTCAAAGTCCCTCTGAAGCAGCTGTTCCACAAAGATCAGTTCCACAAAGATCAGCTCCACAAAGATCAGTTCCACAAAGAACAGCTCCACAACCACTCCAGACATGCCCCCTGCAGCACTTCACCCCCATTTAAACTGAGTGTTTCCACAAGGATCAGCTCCACAAGGATCAGCTCCACAACCACCCCAGACATGCCCCTGCAGCACTTCACCCCCATTTAAACTGAGTGTGGTGGGTTCAGTGCTGGCCAATCTCCAGTGCACTCACTGGGAGCCCAGGAACCAGGACACTGCTCCAGCACCAACCTAAAGCTACAGACTCCAAAAATACTCCAGAATACCCCAGAAAAATCTATTCAAACTTGTGGTAAAACACTCCTGGAGGGATTTAAAAGATGTATGGATGTGGCACTTGGGGACACGGCTTAGTGGTGGCCTTGGCAGTGCTTGAGGGATGGTTGAACTTGATGATCTCAGAGGACTTTTCCAGCCTAAATTATTCTGTGAATCCATGATTCTACTTCTATCCCTAAAATGCTAAACCAAACCACAGCACGTGCCTGTCTGCCAACCTCTTAACTGGTTGGGAGAGGAGAGAAAAAAAGTCTCAAATCCCTCAGCATCAGCTCTGGGGGCTTTTAGATTCTAAAATCCCCCAGCATCAGCTCTGGGCTGTGCTCAGATTGCCTGGGCTGAACCTGGCAAACAAGGAAATAAATCACAAAAATCCACAGAAATCAGCCAGAAACACCAACCCCTGTTGAGTTTATGGTGGGAGCAGCACCCAGCAGAGCTGAGCACAGCCCTCCTCACTGCCAGGGCCCCACAAGAGTGTGAGGCACTAATTACCAAACAGGTACTTTAATTAACACCCATCAATCCCCTGGAATTCTCACCCCTTCCCTTTCTTGCAGTATTATAATTATTATACATAATCCTGCACAAGATCTGCTGCTCAGCAGCCACCACAGGTGCAGAGTTAAACCTGCACTGACCATCATCCCCCCCTCAGGTGTTCCCTGTGTTGCTTTTCCTCATCTGCACACAAAGCACAGCTGGAACAATTAAACACTTATTTATTTATTCAATTAAAACACTTATTAATGGGCTCTCATTAGAGAGAAGGATTTTTTTCAGAAGCACCTCTATCACTCAGGAGAGAGTTTTGAGTTCCTGAGCAAAACTTTGTAGTTTCCCTCTGCTTTCAATGGAACAGCCTAAAAGAAAATGTACTTAAAACTCACTTACTTCAAAGTATTTTCTCTCAATTTCAGGGTTCTTCCCCACAGTCCTCTGTTCATAGCAGCACAGGACACAAGTGTCAGGGCCCGTCAGGTCCTTCAGGGTCTTCAGCAAGGGCTCCAAGGACTGCCCAAAAAAGGTTAAACATTTCCCACGTGGATTTCAAGTTCACTTCACTCTAGCTGAAGTCTTCACCCAAGAGAGAACCTCCCAGTCTCACTTTTCAGGGAGTTATTTTTAGTGCTTTAACTGGGACAAGAAGAATATGGGGGAAAAGCTGGGAAGCAGAGGAGAAAAGGGGACCCACAGGAGAACAATTTCCCAGAGTGACCAAGAAAACTGAACTGGAATCCAAGCCAGAAACATCCCACACCGCTGAGTGGGCACTTCCTTGAGGCACACAGCGATGAGTATTCCTCAGTGTGTTTAAAATGAGAGTTCTCTCAATTATTCCTGGAGGATGGCTCAGATCCAGACCACAATGAGGGGAAATGGGACCAAGAGGCCGGGACACAATGCCAGGGGCTGGTAAAGCCATTGGAAGGGCACTGGGACATGGGGTTTGTCAGGATATTTCCCTTTTCCTGCAGCTTCCCTCAGCTCTCTGTGCACATCCTACACGCTCCAGCTGAGGACACGAGGCAGACAACAACAACCACTGAGCTGTGGCAGGATTTCTCCTCTTGCCTTCCCAAGGAAAGTGTGAGGAGAACCCAAACAGCAGATGTAGCACTCTTAAATTTCATTTACCAATGATTTCAACAGTCCACATTTTGCTTCACCCCTCCCAATGTTAATAAAAAAGGATGGGGGGAGGCACAAATATTCAATTTGGGATTTTAGTCTCCAGTTCTACGTCAAATGGCCTCATATCTATCAAAAATGCCTTTTCCAGTTTTGTTCTACATATTCCTATAAACCACAGGGACCATGACACGAGCACAATATTTATCTGAACACCTCTCATACTGAACACACTGATCCCACCCCCTTCCCAAGAAACCTTCCTGCAGGGGTTTAGCAAAGTCCTCGTTTACCTCCTCATAGTAAATGCAATCAGCCATGAGTATATAATCGGGGGGAGGCTGAAATTCTGTTACATCTTCACCCCTAAAAACAACAAACAAGAAAATAAAACACCAACAAAATATGAAAACAAGTTTTAGTAATAACACATACTAAAGGACTGAGCACGAAGTTAACAACTGTGTTTTCACATTAAGCTTCCCTCTCACAGCGGTGTTTTGAAGTTATTTAGCAATTTAAGAAGCCAGTGCAGAATCACAGGATCCCAAACTGGTTTGGGTGGGAAGGGAACTTAAATCCCATCCCATTCCTCCCCCTGCCATGGGGGACACCTCTCACTGTCCCAGGCTGCTCCAAGCCCTGTCCAGCCTTGGACACTTCCAGGGGCAGCCACAGCTGCCCTGGGCACTTGTGCCAGGATCTTCCCATCCTCCCAGCCAGGAATTCCCAATTCCCAACATCCCCTCTAAACCGACTCTTTTTCAACCTGAACCCAGAATCCCCGTTAAAGCTGAACAGAGACATTAAATAAAGGCTCATACAAACCATTTCAGTACCTTGGCTCGGACGGACCCTGTGACCAGGTGCTTGTTATTCTCAATATTGACCATCAACAGCTCCTGCAGCTCCTCCAGGTCTGTGACCGTCACGTTCGCCCTGTAACACACACACGCGGTAGAGAGTAACGCGATGGCAGGGGGCACTCCGCACAGCACAGCAAATCTAAAGGGTTTAAAGGAGTCGCGAGGGTCTGAGGGAGCAGACAGCGCCGGGCAGGGAATCCGCTCACCCCAGCGTGGCTGCCATGATGCCGACGGCGCCGGTGCCCGCGCCCAGCTCCAGGACGTGGCGGCGGGCGAGAGGACAAGCGCCGGTCTCCAGGAACTTGGCGAGCACCAGCGCAGCGTCCCACACCACGCAGCCCACGCCGCCGGCCGCCCGCTGCTCCAGGCGCAGCGCCGGCCCGGCCCGCCGCTCCAGCTCCCTCCGCCCCGCCGCTCCAGCTCCCTCACGAAGCCCGCCATGGCCGCGGCTCGGAGGCGGCGCGGCCCCGCCCCGCCAGGAAATGGCGGGCGGGCCGTGAGGGGACGGCGCTGGGCGGCGGGAGAGGCTGTGATCGGTGGGCACGGAGGCTTTTCCAGCCGGAATGGTTCCAGGATTCCGGCAGCCCTGTCCAGCCGGAATGGTTCCAGGATTCCGGCAGCCGCGGCCATGAGGGAGCGCGGAGCCCTCAGGAGCCGCTCCCTCGTCCCTCCTGACCCGCTCCAGCCTGAGCCCTCCTGAAGGTTCTGTTACAAACCGCCCTCACGCAACTTGAAAAAGGTCTTACAAGCCTACAAAAAAGGTCTTAATAAGCTTACAAAAAAGTTTTAATAGACCTACAAAAGTCTTAGTAAGTTTACAAAAAAGGTCTTAATAAATGTACAAAAAGGCTTTGATAAACTTAAAAAAGGTCTTAATAAATGTACAAAACCTCTTAGTAAACCTACAAAAAGGTTCATAAACCTATGAAAAAAGTCTTCATAAACCTGTGAAAAAGGTCTTCATAAACCTACCAAAAAGGACTGAGCTTACAAAAAGGTCTTAACAAACCTACGAAAAGGTTTTAGTAAACTCACAAAAAAGGTTTTAATCAAGCAACTGAATATGAGTTGATTCTGCGTTGACATCTTGAAATGCGAATGTTTTAGATTTCTTTCTTGGATATGTGGAATAAAGATTTTTACTACTTTATTTCTCCATTTCTTTTAGACCAATGGGAGGCCTCTTGGTGGTCGGCAGATTCCCCTTTGGAAGGCATTTTCTGAAGGAATTGCCTTTTCCCACATGAACCAACTTCAAACCCAAATGTCACATTTTTCCACTCCAGCAGTTTTTTTGTTGTTCTTTTTACCTACCCCTCTAATTATGAAGTAACTGAAATGTTATTTATTGCTCTCCTGAGCCATGCTGGTGGGAATCTCACTGCCTTTGACCACTTTCCATGGCCATATTATGATATATTTTACTGTGGAATATTCAAAAGGGTTCTGGCATAAGCACTTGTACAGGAAGGCATAAAGCTGACATCTGTATATTCTAAAATGCGGGAGAGATTTTTTTCCTCTTCATCAACACACAAAAGTCTGAAAAAATATTATTCTTGTTTAGCAATAGCTGCTGGTGGGGACTTCAAAAAAGTTAATGCAAAGAACCTAAGAAAGAATTCCACTTTTCCAAGTCATTCTTCATTTCCTACCTGCACTCCCAGTCTGTGCATCTCAAATTTGGGACTTTTTGTACCTTATTTTAGCAAAATGAAGCAGCTCTCCTATAAAAAGTGTGGATGGATTCCAACTCTCTATTCTTCCTCAAGGAAGGAGCATGGAGGGGACAGGCAGTAAAAAAAGTGTTCAAGAGACAGATGGAAAAATACATCTTCCCAGGAAAAAATGGGGGGTTCTTGTTATGATCCTGTACAGGGCCAGGAGTTGGACTCCTGATGGATCCGTTCCAAGACAAGGTATTTCTAATTAATATCCCTCTTCAGTCATATCTCCTTTCCAAAAAGGGGAATTTTCCAAAAGGAATGCCCAAGACAATGGGAGCAGCTTAGGCAGCCTGATGAGAGGCCAGAGTGCAATTTGGAAGCCTGGGATGAGACAAAGCATGGAAAATTGGGCCATTTTGTACTGTCAAAAATGCAATTCCCAACCTTGTCCTTGCAAGGAACACGCACTGCTCAAGCTCTTAAAAATTAAGACTGGGGTGATTTATTAATCTTGTTAAGAACTCTGATACAAAGCACAGTAAAAGGCCACAAACCAGTAAATAAAATGTGGCTTGTGAAGGCCACTTTATAAATGCTGCTACAGAACTACCAGTAAAACAGACTCACTCTCACACCAGTTCAAACACGGGCGTTTGACTGGCAAAGAAAAGTTCCATTCGCTTATCAGTTTAAAAGGTTTAATAAAGCTTTAAGTGTTTGCTGGTTTAAATGCTACCAATTTCCAAAGTGGATCCACGAGTTAAGTGTAGCTCTAGAGGAAGTTATTAGGTCTGGAAGGCAGGACTGTCCCCAGGCCAGAGGAAACGCTGCTGGCCGGACCCAATCCCAGGAGTAGCAGACTGTGTTATAGGCCTCCAAGTCAACTTCAATTTATACATGTCATTAGCATATCTGTAAATATACAATATAAACAATTGTACAGGCGCATAGCTTTGTTCTCCACAACAGCAGACAAACTCTTTAGCTTAAGACACCTTCGCCTACCAAAACAAAAAAGGCACATCTGAACAGGATGCACGTGAAGTACTCGGGATCCTCCCCGGTATCCCAGACGGGTACTCCTCCTTCATCCTTTCTCCAAAGAACCAAGACCAAAGGAATATTTTGGTATTTAGATTTCAACCTATTTTTTTCTTTGTCTTCAGCAGCAAATCAATGGCAATTAAGACATGGCATGAGAATATTCCAGAACAGGAGCTGTCACTCAGGAACCTCAAGGCAAGTGGTCAGAGGTTTCAAATCTGTGACGCTCTGTATCCTCATGTTGTTTGATCATCCCATTGCTGGGTTTCCTTAATTAAAAGAAAAGGCCACTAGTGCTCAAATTTAAAAAAAAAATTTCCACAGACGCACCTTTTTTTGGCTCAGTGCAATTAAATGATGTCAGTTTAAATTCACTTAGTGTAGTTTACAGTGCAAAAGGTCTATTTTGTGTCCTGGCAGAATGGTCGGCACTGAGGATGTGAACCAAGGCAATGCTGCTGCTCACCTGAGGGTAATGCTGTCCAACCACACAGGCTGGAATGTGTGTAGGCTGAAATTTTTTTCCAATTTAAACCTTTTTTTTTTTTGATCAGCAGCACTTTAAGAGCATAATTTGTGAAAATACTAAAATACACTGCCTTTTTTTTTTTTGAATAAATTAAAAAAAAAAAGAGGAACTTTACAAACAGTATTCCAGTGTCAATGACTACTATGGCTAAGGTCATTGAGGAGTTTCTGCATTTTCTAGCAAAGACAGTCTGTGCAAAGGAGGGTGGGAGAGCTCCCTTTTGTAAGTCTTTGGCGGCAGTTTTGGTAGCTGGGGGCTGGAGTTGTGCCGGGGCGGCACGGGGGGCACGGGCGGCTGTGCCAGGTTGTTGTGGCTGGCGCTGAGGACGCAGCAGCGGCGCAGCACCCGCGGGGAAGGGGTGCTGGGAGGGGTGCCCGGGGAGCTGGGGCCCGAGCCCGCCTCCCGCAGCCGCTCGGGCTCCCGGGGGAGGCGGCCCAGCGGCGGCGGCTGCAGGCTCAGCGGGCAGTTGATGAAGTGCTCGGGCGGCCGCAGCGGCACCGGCGGCGGCGTGTCGGGGACGGGGTCCCGCGGGGGAGGAGGAGGAGGGCTGTGCAGGGGCTGCTCCAGGGGAGCGCTGTAAGCAGGAACGCGGGGCTGGATCTTTGGAGGCGGCGGCTGCCGAGGTGGGATGGCTGGAGGATCGTCATCCGGCTTGGAATTTCCCTGCGGCGTCGAGGAGACAAGGGAGGTGTGAGAAATGGAGAGCACGGAATCCCAGAGCGGTTTGGGTGGGAAGGGAACTTAAATCCCATCCCATTCCTCCTCCTGCCATGGGCAGGGACACCTCCCACTGTCCCAAGCTGCTCCCTCCAAGCCCTGTCCAGCCTGGCCTTGGACACTGCCAGGGGCAGCCACAGTTTCTCCAGGCGTGCTGTGCCAAGGCTCCCCACCCTCCCAGCCAGGAATTCCCAATTCCCATCTAAACCTACTCTCCTTCAGTTCAAAGCCATTTCCCCTGTCCAAATGTTTGGATAAAGAGCAGTCTTCATTCAGATGAGGAATTCTGACCTCTGCTAGTGGTGCTGTCAGAAGCACAGCAGCTGTACCCTTGATGGGAATGTGAACATTTTGTTCCTGAAATTCCTAGCAGGGTTTGGACACTGGGAATCCAAAACTTAAAAACAGAAAGCTGGAGCTCTGCATCTCAATGTCTTGTAGACTGACAGAGCCCTGTTTGGATCAATGGCTGAACCTGATAATCTTCAAGGTCTTTTCCAAGAGAAATTATTCTAGATATTCCCCAATTTATCACCAAAATTATTCAATCCAGGACAGCAATACCTTAGCATTGGAAGCATCCTGATCCATCTTTTTTCGTGGAGGAAGTGGAGGAGGGTTCTGAGGCTCATCACTCAGTTTAGGGAAGCTCCCCCAAGAGCTGAAGAAAGTCTCTGGAGAGGGAAAAGCAGATCTTTTACTCCTTGTGCAATATCTGAGGAACATATTCTGGAATATCAAGCCAAACTCAAAGCAACTCAAGTAAGGTCTTTGTGCTCCACAGCAACATGAACCAGTAACTGCAGCAGCACAAAATCCTTTAATTCACTGCTTCAATCAGATCTTGGCCTCACAAAGTGTTCTCCTATGTCCAGTATCAAAAAAAGGCATCAGCAGTCAGCAGGCAATGTGAGAGACAGGAAAATAAATCCAGGGAACTTCAAGTGAGTTCTTACAGAGGGAGGAAAAAAACCCTCAAATTAAGACACAACACAACCCCTGACTTGTACTGGTGATTTCTGTCACACCTTTGCTTTTCCTCTTAAGAGTGCGCTGAGCTCTGTGTCTACATCATGCCTGTGCTCTCCAGCTGAAAATCAAATTATTCATATTTTAAAAAATGTATGTGGAATAAATAAAAAGAACAGCTGAAAACACAGGTGAATGCAGGATAGCCCTCACAGGTGTGGCACAAAATGTGTCTCTTCCTTCCCAGCAACAGAGCAGTTGTTTTCACCATGTGGAATTAGGAAATTATCAAGTTGCTTTATTGGTAGCTTTAGTCAGACAAAACAATCATCAAGGACATTCAAAATAGAAGGAAAATCCTGTGAGAGCCTGGAGATAAAAACCCAACCCAAACGAAACCAGCAGTTTAAGTTTTAGGCTTTACATTCTTTACTGGACATCTGATCTGAAAGAAGCCCTTCTGAATGCAGCCCACATTCTCATCCCAGATCTCAGATTTTAATCCCCACCGAGCTCTCCTGAACCCAGGGAAGGCAGAGTTAAAATTTAACAGAGTTCCAACACTCACTCGACTGAGGCAAGTTCACAGGAGCGAAGATGCTGTTGTTACCTGGGAAATAAAAAAAATCCATTAAACCATTTCCAGACAGAAGCACTGCACTGCAGCACGTAACAAATGCTGAAATAACCTGAGAGATCAGAAAAAACCAAGTTTACCTACTGCAAACGTGAATGAGAATTTCCTGTGTAAGACCTTCCTGAACTGGAGAATTTAACTCACTCTGGGAATTAAATGCTGTAGCCATGATATTTTATGAAAAATCCTTTCCTAGGATTTTTCCCATCCTGAGGAGCTGAGAGCCTCAGGAAAGAAATGTAAACAATAACTGTGTGCTGCTGTGGAATGCCACAGGTGCATCTTCCATTGGTCCATGTGGATTGTTTTCAATTAGTGACCAATCACAGCCAATTGTGCCAAGGCTCTGAGCAGTCACAAGATTTTGTTGTGCATTCTATTCTATTCTATTCTATTCTATTCTATTCTATTCTATTCTATTCTATTCTATTCTATTCTATTTCATTCTATTCTATTCTATTCTATTCTATTCTATTCTATTCTATTCTATTCTATTCTATTCTATTCTATTCTATTCTATTCTAATGTCTTTGTAGCCTTCTGATCCTTCCTCTCTCTGTTCTTTTAGTAGAGTTTTAATGTAGTATTTTAGTATAATATATAACATAATAAATCAGCCTTCTGAGCAAATGGAGTCAAGCCTCATGTCCCCACACCTGGAGCATCCACCGCAACAAACTACTTCACGTTTTGCAATTGATTTTTTTAAATCCTGGCACACACCCCCAGCACACGTGGGAAGCCTGAGGGACAGCACCAACCATTATCAGCCCACAGTGAGTTCTTCCTTACCGTAGGAGCTGTTGAGGTCGATGTCCAAGAAGACGCTGAACTCCGAGGAGGCCGACACGGGCGGCGTGGAGGGCGTGTTGGGGGAGGTGGGCGCCGAGGCCGCCGCCTCCTGCTCGGCCTCGGTGATCCTGCTGAAGCTGATCTTGCTGGGCTCCTTCTCCAGGGGCAGCGGGTGGCTCCTCAGCGTGCCCGACGTGGAGCCGTGCCTGCCCGTGTTGGGCCGAATCCCGGGGGATTTCAGGGGATACGTTGTTTTCCTGGGCTGGAGACAGGGCAGCTGTTAGCACTGCAAGGTTCCACACTGCAACCTTCCCAACACTGCAACGTTCCAAGCTGCAACATGATCCCAACACTGCCACGTTCCCAACACCGCAACCTTCCCAACACTGCCACGTTCCATACTGCAACATGGTCCCAACACTGCCACGTTCCCAACACTGCAACATTCCCAACACTGCTGTGTTCCACACTACAACCTTCCCAACAATGCAACAACGTTCCATACTGCAACATCGTCCCAACACTGCCTCGTTCCATACTGCAACATGATCCCAACACTGCCACGTTCCCAACACTGCAGCATTCCACACTGCAACCAACGTTCCCAACAATGCAACATTCCATAATGCAACATAGACACAACACTGCCACATTCCCAACACTGCAGTGTTCCACACTGCAACGTTCCCAACAATGCAATGTTCCACACTGTGACATGGTCCCAGCACTGCAACATGGTCCTAACACTGCAGCATTCCACACTGCAACCAACGTTCCCAACAATGCAACATTCCATAATGCAACATAGACACAACACTGCCACATTCCCAACACTGCAGCATTCCACACCACAACATTCCCAACACCGCAGTGTTCCACACTGCAACATTCCCAACACTGCCACGTTCCCAACACTGCAGCATTCCACACCACAACATTCCCAACACCGCAGTGTTCCACACTGCAACATTCCCAACACTGCCACGTTCCCAACACTGCAACATTCCCAACACTGCTGTGTTCCACACTGCAACGTTCCCAACAATGCAACGTTCCATACTGCAACATGCTACCAACACTGCAACGTTCCCAACACTGCAGCATTCCACACTGCAACATTCCACACTGCAATGTTCCCAACAATGCAACAACGTTCCATACTGCAACATGCTACCAACACTGCAACGTTCCCAACACTGCGGCATTCCACACTGCAGCATTCCCAACAATGCAACATTCCATACTGCAACATAGACACTGCCACATTCCCAACACTGCAGTGTTCCACACCACAACATTCCCAACAATGCAATGTTCCATACTGCAACATCGTCCCAACACTGCAACGTTCCCAACACTGCGGCATTCCACACTGCAGCATTCCCAACAATGCAACATTCCAT